ATCGATCGCCCCGAAGAGCACGCAGAGGACGTCATGAGTCGTCTCGTCTTGGTCAAGGTCCAGGAATGCTACCTCGGCGTGGCGAAGAAGCTCGTCCGTGATGTCGAAGAGAGCATTGTGAGCGCAAGTGCCGTCGCTGCCAGCGCCGCGAGCAAGCGCAGCGAGTGCTTTGTCCACGAGCTGCGTCTGAAGCTCCAGTGTCGCCTCAAGTGCAGTGGCACGAGTGCGCTCATTGGGAGCCTACCAACCGTCGCAGGCGACGTCATGAACTGCGACGATCAAGGGCCATCGGTCTTTGCTCTTCCGGCCAACCAAGACGGACTCCACGTCACGCAGGCACTTTTGACGCACCTTGCCGCTCTCAAGGCCCAACTTGGGCCTTCGACACAATGGAGCTCGACGATGGCCGACGAGGTTTTGGACGTCATCCAGAACGAAGCGTACGGGGCCGTGGACGGAATCATGCCACGCTGTGGGGCGCCGTGCCCACATTGCCGTTGCCCGTGCACCAAGGCGCTGGGCCATGCGTCCACGAAAGACGACGCTCTCCACGACACCTACCACCAACCGGAAGGCCTCGTTGGTGTGTATATGGTACGCTCGCACGAGCTTGTGTACCGAAGCTGTGCGACGTCTGTCGTCGATGATATCAGCATTGCTTTCGCGAGCGGCAGCCGCCCCTACAAGGAGTTTGAGGCGATTTACCCGGGGTGGGCCTTGCCGCGCGTGACCAAGTTTCTTCCACTGCGCGAGTACATCTTCAAACAATGCCAGTCCGAGCTCTCGCAGATGCACAACAAGCTCAAGTGCACCACGATTCCTGCCTCGTACGACCACAACCTCGCCGACATCGAGAAGCAACTCGTGCACCTTCTTTGCTAGCGACTAGGTTTACACCTACAACACAATATACCTTGTCTGGCAAGCGACGATCGCTTCGTTTCAGTGACGTAGCCATGGGTGCTGCCAACGCAAAGTTGTTTTGTGAATATCTCAAGCGGAAAGGAGGCCAGCGGCGCTGCCACCTTGGTCGGGGCAGTGGCGTATGCACCAATCAGCGAGCAGGGTTACAGCCAATCGGACCGGATCTTGGATCGCAAAGGCGCCAATCAGCATGCGACGTCCCACTACGAGCAGCAAGTGCGGCCAGCCTCCGCGCCTCTGCGGCCTCGCAAGGTGCACCGGGTGCCACGTCGTCGTCGACACGTAGCCGAGTCGACATCAGGTACGAGGAAGCCGTCGCAATGGCGCCAAGTATAGCAGAGCGTCCTCCACGCAGCGTGAGTGCTACTACCCCCGCGCCCTCGTACCATACTAGTACAGTAGTTGGAGTAGTTGACCGCTCCCGGCGGCAGTGTCGTCCCTTACAATGGCTCTCGACGCCAAGATACTTTCGGCCGCAGACATGCTCGAATCACGCCAGGAGCTACGCACATGTTGGTCACGGCTGGCGTGTCCCACGTGCCTGCTGGACTTATACGCGATCTTGTAATGGCGCTTGGTCGCACTTGGCTTTTTGCGCAGCAACAACGGTAATATGGACGACGCCACGATCGCCGGCATCGTCGTCGGCGCACTCGTTCTTGTGGGCGGTCTCGCCGCCGTCCTCTTTCTGCGCTACCGCAGCGGCGCCCCGTTCAAGTCCGAGGCGCTCGAGCTTCCGATGACGCTCTCGCGCGGCGGTGGCCACTCGTACGTGGCATCGCCCTTTGACCCAAATCGCAACTCGACCTTTGTACCGTGGCTCCTTAAAGCGAGCTCGCGCCAAAGCAACGACTCGATGTCCCTCGACCAGAGCATCGCGTCGACGAACGAGCCCAACACGGACGTCCCGCCAGACCCGAGCGCACGCGACTCGTTCTGGGACCGCCTCTCGCCCACATCGCGTGACCAGATTCGCAGCGAGAGCT